GATTTAGGGAGTTAAAAATTCCAGAACAAATCTCTCGTCTTGCCATTTAATCCTTATAAGTCCCCCCTTTCCCAGGAAGTGGGTGTTCAGCACCTCTTTTCTTGAGTGGCTCATGGAAGAGAGACATAGACCCCTGAAGGCGATGGAAGTCCTTAGGGTGAAATCCTTTCTGCCTTTTGCTCATTTGTGTCACATTCTCCCATCAGGCTGGGCAACTGACAGGTGCACCCCTCCCTGGGCCCCCTTCAGAGTCCCCTCCTGGCATTCATGTCTCCCCTAGATATCCAACAGACACCGTCATCCTTAGGAGTCGAATATGATTAGCAGAAACCCTCCTGACAGCTCCAAAGAGAATCCCTCAAATGCATATTCTATTGAGTGCATCTCACTGCGCCTGACAGCCGCTTTATCAATTAAATTCCACATTCCCAGTCTTCAGAGATGCCATGAACCTCCCTACCTAATAAATCACAGGCCCCAGTTATTGTTAAATGTCCCATCAGTCTCTAATAAAATCCCTGCCAACCGAGCAGGTTATTTATTATGCTGCCCAGACAAGAATGAATTGGGCCCCGTTCTCGCAAGGAGAAGAGCAAACGTGCTCCCGTCCTCCCTGAAGAACTGAGGCTCCGATATGAAATGGGGCAATTAATCAGCGTGGGCCCTGGGCAGAGGGGAGTCTGGTCTGGAGAGAGGGAGGACGGCCTGAGGTTCTCCTCTGAACGCCATCCCAGCAAATCTCGCCATGGCGAGAGGTGGCTGCACAGAGCACAGGGGCCCCAGCCTTTGCTGTCTTTCCTCCGAATTCCTGTGTGAAGATATGGCCACTCCCGAGGCCCTGGGGCACATGCAAAGACAGTTTCCTCCATGTTGGGAGGTAGTCACTTAGGATTAAGCTGGGTCATGAAATAATACATTCTGTCCAGAAGGCCAGGTATTATTCCTTGATTAACTTGGTGTAACAGGTTTATTGCTGGCACTAATCCACTGAGCAGATGAACTGAATGAAGAATGAACATAGGAGGGAAAGAGAACTCAGAAGCACGCGCTCAGTCACTGCTTCCTGGACATGCAGCATACAGGTAGCAGTGGCACGAGGACAGCCATGTCCCAACACCTACAAGACCCAGGAGCTGTTAGGTGCAAAGCGGGCCTTGCCCTCCCCTGTCACAATTAGTTCCCAAACTCTCATGAGGCTCCCAGGTCTGCAAGTTCAAATCCAAACTCCTCCCCTTTGCCGTCAATCAAGTCCCATGCTACCTTTCCAACTGCATCTCTCTTTATTGTGACATAACTCTACCTCGCTTTTGGAACACACAGCATGATCATCTTCTATTTGTTACGGTGGCAGGCAAGGTTCTCCATAAGGTGGGACTAATGTGTCTCTGCAGCCTCGTTTCCTGGCAACTGCTGTCATACTTGTCTCCCTTTGCACTAAAGGTCTTGCCTTCCCTAAACTACTAAGGTTTCTCCTGCTTCTACCCACGCCTTTGCACAAACTGTTCCCTCTGCCCAGAATATCTTCCCAACGTGTCTGGCTGGTGGGCTCTCCTCCCGCTCTCACTGCCTGGTGAACTCCTTACCTACGCTTCTGGATCAGCTGGGAAAATCAGCTCAGAAAATGCACTTCATGGAACTTGGCTTTGTCTCCTGGTGCTGTGGTTTTGGGAGAAATGCTCGACTCCGGGGGTTAGGGGAGGAAGGGCCTGTGCCTGGAGTTTTTCTCCTACTTCTGTGCACACTTTGGACCATTAGGTTTGGGGTGGGGACGAGAAGGGCACAGAGAGGAAGGCTTTTACTGTTTGCCTCGATTTCTCAGAAGTTTCTCCTCTCCCCCACATGCCAACCACACTGTGAGCAATGAAGGCCCTGAAAATGTCAGTGCACATGATTTTACACCGCCCTCGCTACAGTCGTCCCTCGGTTATCGTGGTTCATCCGTTCCAGACTCCAGCAGTTGCACCTGGCGTTGAAGGATTCCTGGGGTGCTCGAATACATAGGCCTACAGTCCATACATGCAGTGATTTTAATTGTAATTGTAATACAGGGGTGTATAATTGACTCAGACAACCGAGTGCACACTGTATCATTTTCACTGTCTTGATCAACTTTTTAATGAATATATTTGAAAAGCCCGCGATAGAGTGAAGCCGCGAAAGTCGAAGCGCGAAGTGGCGAGGTCGACTGAGCTTGCATATGTCCTCCTTGATCAGTGCGCCCTGAGCGCCTGTTTCTTTCTCTTTGAGGGCAAGGCCTCTATTCTGTCCTATTTTCGTGTCTCTAGCATTCGGCTGATTCATATGAGGTGTTCAGAAGATTCTGGTGGAAAGAATGAATAACGAGATGTTTGCAGATTGAATGCAAATAGTAACATTGCCAACCCTTTGTTGCTGTGAGTGTCAAATGAGAAAAAATAGCTACACGAACTTAGTTTCTTCCCTTCTTTTCACATTTTCCCACAGAGCCTCACACCCAGGGTGGGCCATATCCATGCCTTTATTTACATTGTTTTCTTTCCCTCTGGGCACAGAAACCACTGTGAAGAAATGAATGGATGGGGCCATGTGAACCTCAATATCTAGTCTGAGTCTGAGTCTTACTCCCCCGTCTTCAGTTCGCAGGAATCTCTCCCTATTCTAGCTCCAGGTACCTGACATGAGGAAAGGCTTTCCAGGGAGAAGGAATAGCACAAAAAGAGGCTGGGGTCCCATTGTGATTTTATCCTGGGGGAGACTGGGAGGCAGACAGCAGTCCAGCGGGTTTCTGTGCATGTTACTCTCACACCTTACCTAGTTATTCAGTGTTTTACCTTTCCAGCACTAAAAATTATGATCAACTGCAATACTGGAATTTTTACCTTCTGGGGAAAACATTTTATTGATTTGTGGTTTTAGCTATAGCAATACAACTTATCCCCAGGAACATTGCAACGTTTGTGTCATAACCAGCAAATTCAATAACAGAATGCTGTTAAAACTATGTGTTCTCTGCTGGAAAAAGTCTTTTTGTTTGTTTTGGTAAGAGAGCCGGTTCTTCAACAGTGATGGGTTTGAGTTCTAAAGACCACTCTTGTGGGCCTAGAGACCCAGCAGGGACTTTTGAGCAAGAAAGTGTCAGCCACTCACTCAATCAAGGGCCTGGTGCTGGGCTGGAGAGCCTGGGGCGACAAAAATTCCCTTCTTTGAGAAGCTCATAGTTTATTTAGTGTGAGGGACAGATATGTAAACAAGGAACAAGAACAGGTAAGAGCTAGACTGGAATGATTTGCATTATGAAAGGGGATCCTGGGATGGGAAATAAAAAAGTTGACAAAAGAATCTAAAGCTGGACCCAAACAATCTAAGATGTCCACCTAAAAATCATCCCAGCACCTGTGGGATAGGTGACCAGAGTGAGGAGAAACCGGGCAGGAAAACCATTCAGGAGGTTGTTGCAATAGTTAGGGTGATGAAGGGACCTAAAATAGGACAGATGCTATGGAGACTGGAGAAGAGTAATGGAGGAAATATTTGGAGACACAATTACCTGTGCTCAGTGAATTGTTAGGGGAGAGGGCTAGTAGGAGGTGAAGTCAAGAATAATTCCCAGGTTTGGGATTTGGGAATTGGTGGATAAGAGAGGTGGGGTACTAAGAAGAAGCCTGGGGCCTTTCCTGCCCAGTCCCAGGAGTCCCTCTGCTTTCACCCGGAGACTTGACATTTTCTCATTGTTTTGTACATTTCTAAGCAAAATCCATCTCCAGGACCCCCTTTCAATTAAATTATCATGCCGCAGCATGGTTTGGAATCTGGGTCCTCACTGCGTGTGTGTGTGTGTGTGCGCGCGCCTGTGAACACGATTGAAATATAATGACCAGGATTATGCTATAAGGGACAAAGGAAAAAGTTGGGGTTGGATGCAGAATAAGATTACATTGCAGAAATGGAATTATGACTAAAACTCTTATGGGAAAGCATTTATTCAATAAATATTGAGCATTTACTATGTGTCAGATTGTTTCTCTTCCATTAGGGATACAGCAGACAACAGGACAGAATAGGTCTCTGACCTCACAGAGTGAGGGAGACACAATAAACACATAACTTCAGACAGATAAGTACCATGAAAAAAAAATAGCAGACAGGGGAAAAGTGATGGGAAAGGAAGGGGAGCCGACAGGATGGGGAGCTAGTTGGGGTGTTTATAAAAGACTTTTGAAAAGGCGATACTTGAGCAGAGACCTAAAGTAAGGGAAAGTGGTTAAAAACTAAGTCACCACCTTGCGAGGGGGCGGGAGCGATAAGAGCAACACTGAGGAGACGTTAAGTTTGGGACGAGTGTGCGGCATCTGCACGGAGTTGCTGAGAAGGCGGACGGGGTCCAAGCACAGTCTGGAGGCGGGGACAGGACTGTCGGAGGTGCCAACCCCTTCCCGGCTTCAGCTCAGCGCGCCCGCACAGCGCTCCCGGTGCGTCGGGCGCCGTTAGGGCGCGGGGCTGGGGCTGGGGCTGGCGGATCCTTGCCGCGCAGAGGCCGGACCACGCGGCCAGCCTGCGTGCGACACCCCGGGCACTCTGCGGGCCCCGAGCGGGGGCCGGGCGGGAAGGGCTGGGGGAGTGACCGCGGAGCCGAGCAGCGCCGGAAGCGTGACGTGCGGCGGCATCACAATGACCGCGCTGGGAGGGAGGCGGCGCAGGGCGCACGGCGCAGGGCGCGGGGCTGGCGGACCGCCCACAGAGGGCCGGAGGCGGGGCGGCGGCTCCACCGTGAACGCGCGGCGCCCTCTGCAGGCCGCAGGCGGCGACACACCGGTATCCTCTCCTTTCCTCTCCTGCCTCCATCTTCCTCAGGCCACAGTTTTTTGTTTTTATAGCGGTTTCCCCGTCTTTCTGAGCCTCCGATTTGCGTCCCTGGCCCCCTCTTCCAGGCCAAGCCTGTCCGTGTGTTCGCGGGAGGAGTGCTAATAAAGTTTTCTTCTTCTCGCTCTCAGGCTCCCCGCTTCAAGTACCGCGAGATCTGGTGGCGCGGCTACCATGGCGGCGGCGTTTGAAGCCCCGGCGGACTTAGCGCCCGGGGAGACCGCCGTGTCCGCGGAGCACGCGGCCGCACCGGCGCCGGCGCCGGCGCCCGCACCCAGACCCGTGCGGAGCCTGCGGACGGCCCACGATGTCAGCGGCCCGCGGACCCGCACGGGGGACGTGCTGCTTTCGGAGCCCGCGGACTTCGAGTCGCTGCTGCTGTCGCGGCCGGTGCTGGAGGGGCTGCGGGCGGCCGGCTTCGAGCGGCCCTCGCCCGTGCAGCTGAAGGCCATCCCCCTGGGGCGCTGCGGGCTCGGTGAGGCGGGGCCCTGGCGGGGCCGAGGGGGTGCGGAGCGCGGCGTGGTCTGCAAGGGCCGGCCGGCCGCCGGGCTCGGCCCGCACGCGGTCTCGCCTCGGTTAGCTCGGGTGCAGCGGGCGCAGGCTGGTGGAAAGGTAGACCGGGCTCTGTCCGCACAGATGCGTGGTTCTGAGTTTGCGAAGGTAACCGGTAGAGGTCCGGGCACGAGGCGCTTCTGGGTATGGCCGTGCGTTTTTGTTAGCGAAAACGGAGGTGCCAACTAGGTGATTTCTGGAGACCCCTCCAGCTCTGTGACTCGTGGTTGGCACCTAAGCATCTTCAGTTCTCACTGTGTAGTGATCATTTGGTTTTCCTTTGCAGATTTAATTGTTCAGGCGAAGTCTGGCACCGGGAAAACCTGTGTCTTCTCCACCATTGCTTTGGACTCTCTTGTTCTTGAAAACTTAAGCACCCAGGTGAGTTTATTTAGCTCAGAGGACCCAGAGGAGGGTGTGTTAGGTGGATTTTATCACAGGTCAGATGAAGTACCAGTAGCTCCTCAGAGATAGATGCGAATTTGATGAATGATTGAGTTAAGCCATATGAAAAGTTACAGTAAGACATTAGGCCATTGAGTGGTGGTAGTCTGGATGGTGACCAAGAATGCATTAGTGTTAGAAGCTAGGAATTTTCTACTATTACTGCATCTTAAATAGAATGTCTGTCACGTGTGTCAATGATGCCATTACTTAAGAGAAAATTGAGATTCTTTTTTACTTGATGATCAGATTGTGACGAGAGTTAGCACTTGGCCTGATTCGTGGGGTATGGTTCTCTGGGTATCGATGATAACTGCAGCTCGTGCATGTATCGCTGATCTTCCATCTTCTAGGCTCTTTCTGAGTAGGTCTAAGGTGGCCTTCCCCAAGTTAACAGGAAGGATATTTGGGCTTGGGGATCATTTCTTCAAAGATGTGTTGAGCCCATATCATTAGTTTGCCAGGCATTAGAGAGACAGAGATGAATCAGATATGATCCCATAGTCTTACTTTGTGGTTTAGTTGTCACAACAGACTGTATTTCACATTCTCAGTCCTGTATCTCTAATGATGGTTTTCCAACACTGGTTTTTAACCCAGGGACTCGTACTCTTGGTCTGGAAAGCTTTTTGAATCTTACCTTATACTTACCAAATCCCAGGTGATGCTGCACACAGGAGATCATCCTACTTCCCAAAGACCTGGGCTATTCTACTTGTGAATTGAGACTTATCTGAGATTTTGGCATCTGATATTCGGCAGCTGGGCAAATGCCAAAACCCTGAATAAATTCCGTAAATAAAATCAGTATTTTTAACATTTAAGATCTTTAAAGTAATACATATTCATTTTTGAAAATTGGGAAAATTCAGAAAAAGAAGTATTATTTGCTGTTTCCTCTTGCCGAAAACTGGGATGTACCTTTGGGTGTCTACTCAAAAGTTAGAGGGGCTTTGCTTGATGGCCCCATTTAAAATGACTCTTTTCCTTCATTTGTTGCTTCTTTTTCTTTTCCCTGTTTGATTCTTCTTCATAGCACTTTTTATTTTCCTGCCATTGTTTATGTATGTTTGTTTATTGTATATCTTCTTATGATTCAAGAATTAAAATGCCATTTGAGCAAGGATTTTGCACTGTTAACTGTTGACTCCACAGCAACTTGTGTGTTGCTTAGAACATAGTAGGTTCTTATTTAATATTCTCTGAGTGAATACAGTGATCATTCAAAGGAAAAATAGTTCATTATATAATGTGCCAATCACGTATTTATTTTACTGACTCGTTAAAGGTGTATTTTATGTTTTCTTAGATTTTGATCTTGGCTCCCACAAGAGAAATTGCTGTACAGATCCATTCTGTTATCACAGCCATTGGAATAAAAATGGAAGGCTTAGAGTGTCATGTCTTTATTGGAGGCACTCCCTTACCTCAAGACAAGGCCAGACTTAAAAAGTGTCATATTGCCGTTGGATCTCCTGGTAAGATGTCAATGCCTGTTCGTAACTGGAGCTTTTAGGAACTGAACACTTTTAATTTTTAAAAATGTTTTTATTGATTTTTAGAGGTAGCGAGAGAGAGAGAGAGAGAGAGAGAGACATCGATGAGAGAGCAACATCAGCCTCGTGCACACCCACACTGGGGATTGAGCCACAACCCAGGCATGTGCCCTGACCAGGAATCGAACCAGCAACCTCCTGGTACATGGGTTGATGCTCAGCCACTGAGCCACACCAGCTGGGCAGGAGCTGAACACTTTTAATATAATAATATTGGAATCTTTGATAACTATGATAATTATTTTGAGGATTAGAAATGAAGAGCCTAACTTATATGCATGTATGCATAACCAATGGACATGGACAACAAAGCCGGGGACGGGGCTGGGGTGGGGTGGGGAGGGGGGTGCCAAAGGGGTAAAAAAGGAGAAACATCTGTAACAACAAAAAAAGAAATGAAGAGCCTTGCACCAGTGATATATAGACATGTGACTGGATTACCAATAGAATTTATGAACTTGGGATGTTTAAGAACATGTATGGGATAGATTTGAGAAGAAGAGGAATGAGATAATTTTTAGGAAGCCCTTCTAAACCCTGGATTGGGATTATTCTTTGCTTTAATCATTCAGTCATGAACCACTGAAAATCAGAATCTAGCATTCAGTGCCTTTACCATTCAAGTCTCTTTATAGGAATAGTGTATTTTGATGAAATATGGGGCGGAAATAATGGAGTTAGGCAAGATCAAAACTCAGAATTTCTAATTTGTGGTTTAGTGCATAAATGAATGAGGATTGGGTCAGGAAAGTCAGCAGGACAACCTCTAAGTAGAATGACATTGGCTGAGACTTGCACAAATTTGGAACATCATAAATATTTCTTTTTTTTTTTTTAATTTAGGCAGAATTAAACAACTGATAGAACTTGACTACTTGAACCCAGGCAGTATCCGTCTCTTTATTCTGGATGAAGCGGATAAGCTTTTAGAAGAAGGCAGCTTCCAGGAGCAAATAAAGTAAGAAAAAATAATTAACTTGACTATTAAAATGGTGCTCCAAAGGGTCTGTCTTTAACTTTTCCAGGTGGTGGTTACTGTCTGAATAGTTTCCATGGCGTGTGTTTTCCTTTTGTTTTTACAGTTGGATTTATTCTTCCTTGCCTGCCAGTAAACAGATGGTGGCAGTATCAGCTACTTATCCAGACTTTTTGGCTAATGCTTTGGCAAAGTACATGAGAGAACCCACTTTTGTAAGACTCAATTCCAGTGACCCAAGTCTCATAGGTGTGTATAGATATTGGATACTTACATTACTGGTTTGTGATACTCTGGAATTTTCCTTTGCTTAGTTGCTTGTTACTTTCATATGTTTGTTTTAACAGAAGACTCTTGACTTCTTTGTAGGTTTGAAGCAGTATTACAAAGTTGTCAGTATGTATCCTTTGGCCCATAAGATATTTGAGGAAAAGGCTCAGCATTTACAGGAACTATTCAGCAGAATTCCATTTAATCAAGCCTTGGTCTTTTCTAATTTGCACAGCAGGTAATGTACCTTAAAAGGCCATCTGAGGGAACTTGTGAAATAAAAGGATGGGAGTGGGCAGCATTTGTAAAATTATAGCAATACATGTTATTTTTTATAGAGCACAGCATTTGGCTGATATCCTTTCTTCTAAAGGCTTTCCTGCAGAGTGCATTTCAGGTAAGTTCATTTTACTTTGTTCTTTGTTTAGCATCCTGACTTGAAGCCTCTCTCAGGTCACCGGAAGAAATACCACTTCATGAGTTGTCTTGTGAGTGTGAGGTTACACTGAGACTTCAGAGTGAAGGAAATTCCAGGTTCATTTTTCATTGGGATTTGATAATATCAGTATTCTTGTTCTTTTAAGAAATAACTCGGTATATAATAAAAAATTAGAAAACTGGAGTTATAGCCATACAAAGTGTTTTTGTTATCTTAAGAGAAAAATATTTTGCTTCTCAGCATAATCATTGTTAAAATGGTAAGAGTTGCTAACTGGCCCTGGCTGGTGTGGCTCGGTTGGTTGGGCATTGTCCTGTGCACCGAAAGGTTGCTGGTTTAATTCCTGCTTAGGGTACATGCCTGGGTTGTGGGCTCGATCCCCAATAGAGTGTGTGCAAGAGGCAACTGATCGATATTTCATTCTCACATCAATGTTTCTTTCCCTTCTTCTCTCCCTAAAAATCAAAAAAATCTGGAAAAAAAAAAAAAGAATTACTAACTGCATTGACTTTTATGGTCTTGGGGAAGGCAAAAGTGATTCATTTTGACACAGAGGTAAATTATTACTGCTGGCCTACTAGGAGTAAAAGCTTTCAAGGAATTTTTGATCAGTGAGCTCCTTTTCGGAGTTTTGGTTGATATCTCAACTTAGTCTTCAACCTGTAAGCCTAAGCCTGTTTAGTCTTGGTATATCACGAGATACCGGGAGACTGTTTTCTGATGGACAGATATTTTGACTATAGAGGTCAACACCAAATTCATAAACAGCTGATTAAAGCAGTCTTATTTTCCTAAGAATTGTTACACTTCATATGTAACTTCGCACATATGATGTTTTATCTGCAGGCATAACCTAGTCACCATTTAAACTTGATTTTTTACTTTCAAGTGGATTGCCTACCCATATTTTCAGAGATTCTGACGGTAGGCCTTAACCTGGGTTTGCATATAAGGATAACATTAACTTTGGTTAGTATAGTTTAATTTGTTAAGACTGGGAGTTATGATTCCTGCTTCTTGTGGATTGATGAATGTGTTGTATTTCTGGTTTTTTTAGGCAACATGAATCAGAATCAGCGTCTTGATGCTATGGCTAAACTGAAGCAGTTTCATTGCAGAGTCCTCATTTCCACAGATTTGGTAAATTTCCTCTTCAGTTTGGGTGACTAATCCCTCTTAATGTATGTTCTGTTATCAGATGTGCAGATTTCATCTCCTATTTTATGTGGGTGTATCTGACGAGAAGATCAGAAGATAGCGTCTTTCCAGTGCTAGGGATATGCTTTCTTTTTTTTATTATTATTTTTATTTTTTTTTAATCCTCACCCGAGGACATTTTTTTTCATTTTTTGTTCAGATAGAGTGGGAGGGAGAGACAGGAAGAGAGAGAGAGAGAGAGAAACATCGACGTGAAAAGGACACACCGAGTGGCTGCCACCCGCACGACCAACCAGGGCCGGTTGTGCAACCGAGGTACGCACCCTTAGCGGGAACTGAACCCGGGTCTCTCTGGACCGCAGGCCAACCCTCTAATTGCTGAGCCAAACTGACCAGGGCAGGGATATGCTTTCTTAAAAATGTTTTATATTTTCATCTTTATTCTTGAAGTTAGTCACAGAAATGAATTTCCTTTTCCTTTGCGTCTCGATATCCTCCTTCCTCCTAAATATCTTCCTGTAGTTAGTTAGGCTCTTGGCTATGCTAGAATGAGGTAGTGTATGTAGATTGGCACCTTGCTGCCGTTAATGCAGACAAACGTTGCTTTTTTTCAATTCAAGACTTCCCGTGGGATTGATGCTGAAAAGGTGAATCTGGTGGTAAATTTGGATGTGCCAGTGGACTGGGAGACATACATGCATCGGATTGGCAGAGCTGGCCGTTTCGGTAAAACGAAAAGTTTAAGTGCTTTGTTTAAGGGGAGGAATCTGTAATATGATAGCTGGACGTGGAGTGTCAGTTATATAAAAATGGTTTACTACATAACATTCCCTCTGTGCTTTTAGGTACGTTGGGACTGGCAGTGACCTACTGTTGTCGGGGCGAAGAAGAAAATATGATGATGAAAATTGCCCAGAAATGTAATATTAACCTTCTGCCTTTACCAGGTATATTTTCTCTGTTTCATTTTACTGTCAAAATAAGGATGGTAGTGATAGGCCTGTTCAAAATAACAACTAACATAGACTACTCACGATGTATCAGGTATTGCTCCAAGTACTTACGTATGTTAACTCATTGAATCCTCACACCATGCTGTGAGGCGTGTGCCGCTGGGGTCTGTGTTGGTGAGGGGGATACTGAGGCATGGAGAGGTAGGTGATCTGCGTAGGTCCTACAGCTGAGCAGCAGGGAGGCTTGCAGGCTGCTGGCGCGTGAAAAGTGGAAACTGTATTAGCTCCATTTTTTAGTTTGTAGTCTTGTAATTTTATTCTTGTATAGAAGGGGGGTGTATTTTACCTCTTCTGCCGCTGTGAAGGCAATTCTTGCCATATTCTCTTTTGTTACCATGGGGAATGAACAGTGTCTTTAATTTGCACACTATCTTGAAAATTTTGAAGTGTTTTCTTTTGATTATAGTGACTTGTTTGTCAAGCAGCTCTTTTTAGGTGCTGTCTTAGAAACAGTGAACTCTTGCCCTGGCCGGTTTGGCTCAGCGGTTAGAGTGTTAGCTTGCGGTCCAGAGAGACCCAGGTTCGGTTCCCACTAAGGGCATGTACCTTGGTTGCAGTTTGTCCCCGGGCCTGGTTGGGTCCTGCGGGTGGCAGCCACTCGATGTGTTCCTTTCACGTCGATGTTTCTCTCTCCCTCCTGCTCTATCTGAACAAAAATAGAAAAATGTCCTTGGGTGAGGATAAAGAAAAAAAGAAACAGTGAACTCTTGAAAACAAGAACCCTACCAGCTCTTGTGTGGAAATATGGTTTATTTGCTATATGTGTGAATTTATGCATGTTAATATGTATATCTCTCTCTATATATGTGTATGTACATATTCATAAATGTATACCTGTATAGTGTATGCATGACCTAGAATATGGGATATGTAGTTACTGAATAATTATGACAATGACTGTTTCACCAATTTATGCTTAACTTCTTTGGTGATTTTTATAAAGCCGGGTTAGTCTGAGGGCTGGGAATCCTGTGGATTCTAATAGTTCTACCTTCGCAGTAATTCATTTTGTGATCTTTTTACAGATTTCTTTAATTGCTCTGAGCTAGCGATTTTCAACCTTTTTCATCTCACAGCACACATAAACTAATTACTAAACTCCTGTGGCACACCAAAAATATATATATTTTGCTGATCTGACAAAAAAAATAGGTATAATTTTGATTCATTCACACCGGATGGCTATTGTTGTGTTGGCTGTTGTCATATTTTCTTTGACAACCTGAGGGAAAAAGAGGTCAGTGCCTCTGGTAAATAGTCAGATGTTGCATGTTTTAAAAATTCTTGCTGCACACCGGTTGAATATCACTGCTCTAAGCTTATGTTCTGATTTACAAAATGCTTGTTTTATGAAATCATTCAGAAAATGCTGGTCTAGAACAGCTCAAGAATGTTAATATATTTGTATTCCTTTTTTGTAGACCCCATTCCTCCTGGTCTGATGGAAGAATGTTTGGATTGGGATGTGGAGGTTAAAGCTGTTGTGCACACAAATGGCTTAGCAAGCGTACCCAGCCCGCCCCTAACGAAGCAAATTCCAAGAACAGAGAGAACCTCTCAAACCCAGAAAGCTCATGGTAACCACATGGCTTCTTATAGGAATACTTCTGTATCTGCACTATCAGTCAACTCCAAAAACACCACCAAACAAAAGCTTCCTGTGAAAAGCCACTCAGAGTGTGAAATCCTAGAAAAAGCAGGATCACCAAAAGCGCGGGGTTGTGCCGCACAGTTGGAAGAGCAAATGAAGCATGCTGTTGAGACCCCTGCTGAAAACGCAAACAACAGTCAGCACCAGGCCAAAGAAGATTTACCTGTGTCACTCCCCCAGATTCCTTGTCTGTCTTCTTTTAAAGTCCATCTGCCATGCACTTTGACGTTTGCCGAATTGGTAGAGGATTATGAACACTACATTAAGGAGGGGTTAGAGAAACCTGTGGAAATCATTAGGCACTACACAGGTCCTGGGGACCAGATTGTGAATCCTCAAAATGGTTTTGTGAGAAACGGAATTACTGAAGAGAGAGTGCGGGCATTGGCAGGTAGCAGCCAGTCTGGAGACTCCGAGAGTGACAGTGATTCTTACAGCTCAAGGACTTCTTCCCAGAGCAAAGGAAATAAGTCATGTGTGGAAGGCTCTTCTGACATTCCCCTGAAAGACTTGGAATCGACCCATGCAGATGGCCATACCTCTTTGCAACAACCTCTGAATGGAAATGATGCCCCTAATCTAGTTGAGTATCAAGGATCACCTGAAATCCAGACAAAGGCAAGGCATAAAGAGGGGGCTAACCAGAGAGCTAAGCAGAGCCGGAGAAACCCTCCTAGGCGGTCCTCCTATCGGCAGACAGAACCCCAGGAAGATGAGTGGTATGACCGCCATAGGGAAACCCAGGAGGGTTTCCCTGGAACCAATCAGGATTATGAGGAGTACTGGAGAGCGTACTATAGGGCGTGGCACGAATACTACACTGCTGCTTCTCAGTCGTATTACTGGAATGCTCAGAGGCATCCAGGCTGGATGGCGGCCTATCACATGAATACCATTTACCTGCAGGAAATGATGCGTGGCAACCAGTGATGATGGCCATGCCTCAGACTACGTGGAAGTATCATCAAGTGATGCTTCCGTGACCTATATAGTAGAGTGGCGTTTTAGGAACTTAAGAAGGCTTACGGCTTTGCCACGGATACATCTATTTCTCAGATTGTTTTGACCTACCAGTTATATTATTTTAAGAAACTTCATGGGTCACATTCTTGAAAGAAGTATTTTTGGGACAAAGAGCTAAAAGGTCCCAGGGTTCCATTTTCTATAAGCCATTCCAAAAAGAAGCATTTGAGAAGACTTGTATCACTGCTTACTTAAAAAAATAAAAACAGTTCAGATTTGAAGCTGTTAGTTTATGCTGCGGAGTTCTTTACAAAAGGCTTGGGCTGCTCTTTCATGGAGATACATATGTTCTTGTAGAAATTTGTCATATGGGAGGTCAGAAAATTCCCTTTTAGGCTTAGGCAGGAAGGAGTAAACATTGCTTCAGACTTTCCTAAAGGAACTTGATTTGGTGCTCTTTCCTCCAGTAAAAATATCTTTTACCAGTAAAAATACAGGCTTAGCCGCATGTGTTGATACATTGTTCATCTTTTGAATGTCAAAATTTTGTTTCTGAGATTGTGAACCGGTCCTTGTTCACAATGCATTCAACCACTGAGCATCTCGGTGGCTGTCTTATTTTTTTTCTGGGAAGAAGAGCAGCTCTTAATCTTTATTCGTTTTTGCATCTTTTTATGCATCTGATGAAAGCTATAGATTCATCCCAGAGAACGTCTGTCTATAAACAAGAATTGGATGTGTAATTTCAAGGGGATCATAGACCTCAGCCCACCTAAGGAACCCAGGTTAAGAACGGCCCTGCACTGCGGGTAGGCTACGGGAATGTGCTCGCTCTTCCTGTCAAGGATTTGGTGGAAGCTGGAACTCATTCTGTCCAAACTCTTCCCACCGCGTGTCCTCATCTTGTGTCTTCTAGAGATTTCCCCCTAGTTTTTACCTCTAACACTACGGTCCAAGGGGTACAGTCATTTTTCTGGGATGGTACACCTATACATTATGATGTAGGAAAGTGTAATTGGAAGTTACTTTTTCTTTCATTTCTTCTCTGTGGCAGTCCTTTCATGATAACACATTTGGCGCCCAGACTTCTCTGAGCTGTATTTGTGGTGAGAAAATCCCTTGTGTGTAGTGATATATAAAGTTTTGAAAAGGAAGGCTCTTCTTTCCTGTGTATATACTTGTCTAGGCAGCATAACCATTTTCCTCAGGGCTGTGAGCAAACATCCAAGGCCATTGTCATTTACCATCTGACACAGCACAGCCCTAAACTTCTGCGTAGCTTGGATTCTTGTCATTTGGGATGGCCAGTGATGGTAGGGTTGGCTTATATATCAGTATTGCCAAATTAGAATGAAATAATACTACATAGCAAGTCCATAATTAGGTCCAGTGTGTCATTAAAAAGTAGAGACTTTAATTACTCATTTAAATAAAATCCCGTCATTGCTATATAATTGAATGTACCTCTCTTTCTACCCTTTCCCCTTCAATGTAGCCAAGTTCAGAGTTTGTCATTGCTAGGGGATTTTAATCAGGATACTACTGCATTTGTGTGTGTGTGTGTGTGTGATGATGATGATTTTTTTTAGAGGAAGGGAGAGGGAGAGAGAAATATCGGTGGAGAAACATTGAGATTGCTGCCTCCTGCATGCCCTCTACTGGGGAGCGAGCACACAACCTGGGCATTTGCCCAGACTGAAAATCAAACTGGAACCTCTTAGTCCATGGGTCGAAGCTCAGTCCACTGAGCCACACCAGCTCGGCACTGCTGCATCTTAATTAGAAATGAGGTTACCCATTAATCTTGAAATTAATTGGATTCTCTCTTTAGGTTTGTCATATTTTGTGTTTGCTTTGTTTTTTTATAAATAGAAAAATAAGCTGGGGGCGAGCATCTGCATAACATGAAAATACTAATTGTTCCATTTTCCATTGCATTTGCTTGGAAAATTTGAGCCGTAACCTTCCTGAATAAGGCATGCAGTTGTGGTAGCTGTGGAAGGAATCTGTGTGTGGAAAAGACTGTTTTGTTTGTAACTTGTCAGTCTAGGTGCATGTCTGTAATCTGTTAGGATCCATAGTAGGATTTAGGTCACTTCCTTTGAGGATGCTTTGTGCTATCGTGGAAAGAGCCTTCGTCCTGGTGCTTCATACTTGTCTTTGCATTATACCAGTCACAGCCATCCTCTCCGGGTCCAGAGTGCTCGATAAGACGAGGAGACTGGACTGGAAGACAGGACCCCTTCCATTTCTAAGATTTAATTACTATATTACTACTAAGAGAAGATACTTTCTGGCTAGGCAAAAGAATGATTACTTTATGAATATAGAGTATAAATTCAGGTGTGCCTGGGTTGAGTGTCTGCGTTCTGGAACACGGACAGTACACTGATGACACCTGTCAGGTTGGGCTTAGCCTAGCTTCAGTGAGGCTGCTCGTGGGAAAGTGGAGAGGTCTTTGGGAAGCCTGCTGCTTTGCATAATTCTGACCTAGAAATAGAATATAAATGATGGCTTGGGGCAATTTTAAAGCAGTATTTTCTAAAGTAGCTTGAGTATTGCAGTAAAATTACCGAACGTTTAAAAACGTGGTTTAATGGTAAACTTCAGCCTCCAAATATTAAAAATAGTTGAAGAGGAATTATAGTACTTGTGGATCAACTCATATGAGACAAGGGAGTAATTTGAAGTTTTAGGTTTTTTTTTCCTAATGTAAATTAGGAAATGTAAATTAAACCTGTTAATCTTAAAAAATAAACTTTATTTGTGACAGTCAACAGTTGACATTGGAACTCCATCACAAGGCAATTCTCTTGTCTTGGCAGAGTATGTTTATTGTTTTGTGCATCGGTGAACAAACACACGTGTCCCAGTTAGCACTGTGCTTTTTAAGGAAAGGGCACATACTGCCCAAAGCACATCTGGTTTCCAGGTACTTGTTCCCCAGATCATTTGCACTGTGGTCTGTAGTGACACCTAGTGGGTGATAAGGATACAAGCATCCGTGATTGAAATGAATTTCACAGCCAACTTCTAGGCCCTCCTAATGTTCCTTTTCTGTCTGTCTTTCTTTTTTTTTTAATCCTCACCTGAGGATATTTTTCTGTTTCTCTTCAGATAGAATAGGAGGGAGAGAGAAGGAGAGAAAGGGAGAGAGAAAGAGAAACATCGACGTGAGAGGGACATACCAACTGGTTGCCTCCTGCATGACTCCAACTAGGGCTGGGGATGAACCGCAACCGAGGTACATGCCCTTGGCCAGAATCGAACCCGTGACTCATTGGTCCATGGGCCGATGCTCTACCGCTGAGTCAAACCAGCCAGGGCCCTAATGTTCCTTTTCTATGAAAAGGAACTGGAAAATGTTCCAGTGTTCTTTGATTGGGATCTGGTGGTTGTGGGAAAATGAAAAGGATTCCCACTGTTGTTGCCACATCATGGTGACATGAAAATGCCTGTTGCTCTTGCTACCTGAATCAGAATTATTAAGGTGACGGCAGATTTCCAGGATACTCATCCGATTTCCCCATATTTAAGATAAGGAAGCAAACAAGCCGAGAGAAAAGGGACTGACGTGGGGTCTCAGTAAGTGGTAAACCCTAAATTGGAGTCTCTTATCTGGTCCCCAGGCTTTCTCTTGTACCCTATACAGCCTTTGGTTTTGAGTTTTCTTTTTAGTTTGAGACCTTGGCTTAGATGGAGGAGTACATACTCAGTGTGTTCTTAGCAGAACCAGTACTGATGCAGAAAGGCAGAAGTTCTCTCTCTCAGTAACACAGGGCTGGGCCTCACAGTAGAGCTGTTGACAAGTGCAGTCAAAGCCTTGCCCTGTGGTGAGCGTCCCTGACCAAAGGCAAGCAGGCGGGACTGTCAGGGTGTCGAGCAGGCGAGACTGTCAGGGTGTCGCAGGAGTTGTTTGCATTGAGGGATGCTGGGGAGGGAGGATTAGACGACTTTTAAGCACTTTTCTGAGCTTCTGTGACTTTCCTTTAAATTTTTTTTTTTTTTATTACAGTTGACAATATTATATTAGTTTCAGGTGCTGTGACTTTTCTCTAGCAAGGTCGAAAGGCTCCCTTTGTTCAAATCACCCTTATTTTTAGTGTATAGCGGGAGAATTGGTATTAAAATAAACAATCATTGTAGGGTTTGTGGCACATAGTTTAATCCAGATTGGACACATCCGGTACAGCAGCGGCACGCGACTCAGTACTGTAAATGATACACGTTTTAACATATGCACTACAGTTTCAAAAGGAGACGACAGGAAACTCCAGAGTTTTTTCTTTTTTTCCATAGAAAGTTTTCACAGGTTTGTCTTCCTGCAGTTTTGTACAGTATTTCTTCTTTGCCATTGTGATGTTGGTAAGCAAAGCCCATTTATTATACGAAAATAGAAAAGAACACACTTGTTTTTCACGGTGACATTAATGGGGGGGAGCGACCTCTAAGGAAAACAATACATTGGAATGTCTGGTTATCAAAAATATACCAACCCTCCCACCTCCCAGGTTTGTAAAATAGTCTGTTGGTCCAAGGAGCCCCCCAGGACTTGGGTCAGTATCCTACACTGGTTAGGGTGACATCGTCGTGTAGTTATAACCTGCTAAGATAAAGTCATTCCCACACTAGATGAGAAAAACATAGAACATCCTGAATAGAAAACAAGACTCAAAAGGAACCCCTTTAAAGCTGTTTCTTTCACAGCTAACCACATTCTTTTCGTTTTCATGTTGCTGCTTGGGCTCCAAGGGTCATGGGTCATAGCAATGTTTCTCCTTCATCCAGTCATTTTAAAGCTTTGCAAATGATGAGATCTCATAAGGAAATCAGAAAGGGAAATAAAAGTATTCCAGGTTCCTGTTTGTTATGGTTACCATGCCAACTAGTTTAGAAGAGAAATATTGCCTTAGTAACCTAAGATTCCCAGCATTGAGAGCTCTCTGCCTTGTAGTTACCTGGTAATTGAAGTAAGGGCGTCTGGACCACTGGAATTAATTAATCAAGATCTAAGTTTTAACGACTACCTCCACAAAGTTTAAAAGAGGGGAAAAATCCAAGTACGTGTTTCAATGTACAGTTTTCCTGCCTATATTCTAATAAGTGAAGTGATCCTGAACTGTAGGAATCCCAGTTTGAAAACTGGGTCAAGTCCTCAGCATGCCCACGAGTTGACTTTTTGTTAATTTAAATCAGTGTGAACTGTCCACTTTAACTTCTGCTCAAATTGTTTTTCTTACTTTCACTTTTCCACTTTGGTCTTACACTCTGTGATTGTAGACAGTTGTGTTCAACCGTCATTGAGAATATCTGGCCTTGGAACAGGATTCTATGCAGTTGGTCCTGAGCTTGACACTAGTTATGGAAACAGCAGACAAAAGAGAAACAGTCCAGAGTTTCTGGGGTCCTGGTTCAGGGTGTTTCTGAATGGAATGCTTCCTCGCCCTTAATCACCACCCTTGACATCCAGGTACTAAAAATATAAGCAAGCCTCACAGCAATGCAACGCGACATGGAGGAAAAACCCCAGGACACGATGTCTGAGCCCTGGTTGCCATCATGGTTCTGCCGTGTGAACTTTGAGAAGTCACTCGACTTTTTCCTGCCAATCAAGGATTTAGTTCCTTGCCCTACCACCACCAGAGGTCGTAGTAAGGATCAAAAGGACTACAGAAGGTATGCTTTGAATGCCATCCAAGCCCTCTCTTCAGTGAGGAGAGCATTTGACAAACAACCTGACTGTTCACTTGTTCACCTCTTTTTGACAGAGTTGATAGTCCAGGGCCGGTTCTACTCAGGGAATGGTTTCCAGGGAGATGGCTTGTAGCAGCACAGTCAAGTGGTTTCCGAGGGCTGTGTCCAGGGAGCACTGACATCTTTATAAGCTCGGTCTCTAGTTACAGCATGTATTCTTTGATGTCTTCTCCAAAGCATCATTACTCTGAGAGGCAGTGGGGACAAGCACTGGACTAACAGCCAAGGGACTTATGTTCTGGTCCCCGCTCTGTCATTAAATGGCTGCATGACCTTGAGCAAGTCACTTAATTCCTCTGGGCCTCAGCTTTCTCTACTGTAAACTATTAAAAAGATTCTTTAATCTCTTTATATTTTATTTTCTAAGTATCCATTCATCTGAATGCATTCTATTAATTGGTTTTCTTTTTAACCCTCTCTAATGCTGAGTGGGATTGAATGGGGCAGGTGGTTTGGGAAACCTTTCATTATGCTGAAGTGGTTGATGAAGGATGAAAGCTCAAGGTTGCTGCACCAGAAAGCCATTGCTCCTGGAGGACCCTGGGTTGACACCTTTCGGCCCAGAGGTGAACTGGTCTCATCCCTGGCCAAGGCTACACTGCGGGATGGAGGTGAAGGCGATCATCCAACAGTTTTTTAGGAACTGGCAGAATGTGTGATTTGGAAATGAAATTGAAGGATACAAAACATTTTGTTAATTAGGGTAAAAGAATGGGAAATTATTTGGGATATGACTATTAAAATTTGTTCATTGATTTTTGTGGGGACCACTGTGTGCTCCCCTGATGCAGGATCAAACATCCTGGGTTGGGTTAGTCATTACTCTAACCTAGGATGACCTGTTCTTAAACACAGGCAGTGTGTGTGTAAGCAGCCGTGTTCTTATTTACCTCTTTATCCCGCTCAGTCCCTAGGATGTAAACTTAGATGCCTAGACAGTCATAACTTTGTTCCATCACCCATTCTTCCAAAAGAAAAATTCCTTTCCTAGTCCTTTGCCTGCCCCCAAACAGAGTCCAGCCTAGTCCTTTGCCTTCCTAATGTGTGTGAAGCGAATGGATTTAAGTGCTTATTCTTAGGTGTGTTTAGGTTGTGTGTGTACACGTATCCCTCTGTGGTTGTAAAGCTCTTCTGCCTACTTGCACCGCAGCTGAGCAGGCCAGAACCACTCCACTCTCGTGGTGAGGGGAAGTCCTTGAGGCCAGACCCAGAGAAAGGACTCGGTCAGTGGTCAGTGAGGCTAGCAAATGAGATAAGGGGGAAGGCTCTCTCCTCTCTGACCTCTGCCCACCTTCAGTTAGGTGCCACCTCAGAATGCTTGGACTTTCCTCTTTACAGGGTCAGTAGAGCTGGGGTCACAGGAGGCCTGCTGAAGGTGCTCTAGGGCTCCAGGCTAGAGAAACTCATGTGCATGGCCGTGGAGGGCGGCTGGATTCTCGGCCTACCGTCCGACAGCTCACCACGAAGCTGGAGAACGGGTGCAGAGCTCCTGAGAAGCTCTTGCATCCCAGAGGGAAGGCCAGAGAGACGGCAGCAGGGGCAGCTGGGGACTGGGGAGGGCAGGAAGGGCAGTGAAAATGGATAGTCAGGCTCCAGAAATGCTATTCCAGCCCCACCGAGGTGCAAGCCACTTGAACTGAAATGCTGTCCAGGTTGCCAGAAATGATATGCACCCCCTCACCTGCATGGAAGTTACCAGGCTCCCCCCCTCTGGCTGTCTTCCAGGACATCAGGCCTGCAGACTCTTCAGACCTCGAGACATCTTTCAGACCAGGCGAGGATCATCCCACTTGCTGGCGCCCTTCGGCGCACCCTTCGCGAGGGAGGCACTTAGGCTAAACCTGCAGCCTCTGGTCCTGCGCCCTGCGCCCTGCGCCCTGCAGGAAGTGCTCGTGGGGCCTCTGGGCGAGCTCTGGCTGGGCTTCACGCGAGGGCCCCGGCCCGCGGCAGCGGTGAGCCCCGGGGTCTCCTGCCCTCTCCTCTGGCACCACCAGAGTTGGCTATTTCCTTTTTCAAAATCTCAGTGTGATACATCTGGTCGCTCCCCTTCTAAGCCAGACATGGAAACTGCAAGCGGTGGTTCCAACCATGAGAAGCACTAAGTTCTCCAAGGGAGACTCCCCCGCCCCCCGGACCCTCGCTTTGCTTTGGGCCTTTCTCCTGCACAGCTGCATTTACAGACACCGCTTCCAGGCCCGCGGCTCGGGCGTCTGCAGCGAGGCTCACTGGCACGTCTCGGGATCACCGGGGTCCGTGGAGAGACAGACGCTGGACAACTGACAAACAGCCAGGGGAAGCGGAGAGGCACAGAGACAGGGGACAGGGACAGACCGAGGGTACTTGCTGCTGTGTGGTCACGGCAGCTCTGTGCAGGTCAGCTGGGCGGTGGGGGCCCAGGCTCCGATGACCTCACCCACCTGGGGAAATGGAGAGAGAACTCAGCAATAACTGGCTTCTTAGCCTAAAAGCTTTTGCTATAAAAGGAGAATAAAAGAAAAAACAAAAACCCTCACAAAATGCATTGTTTTGGTTCAAAGGTACTGGGTCCATGGAGAAAAATGTTTCACAAAAATCCATTGGTGTTTTTGTTTTCCACCTTTTCCCATGAATAAATATTATCCATTAAGAGCCTTGAAAAGGTGCTTAAATACACAGTGTTACACGTTCTTCCTGTTCTGCACGTGACGACTCGGCCTCTGTGCGGCTCTTGGTCTTGTGTTTCCTCCCTGGGGTCTCCAGAAACAACTGCTACTTGGTCTGAGGCTTCCCTCCAGGCCCTGCCCTGGCGCAGCGGCCCCACACCCCGTTCCCATTCCCTACCCCCACCCTCCCTTCCTCCGGCCCCAGGGACAGGCAGAATCACAGGGCTGTGTCCACGCAGCAGCAGCAGCAGCAGCAGCAGCAGCAGCGAACGGCAGGCCCTCTGCTCTGGTTCCTCCCAGGCACGAGCCTCGGTGCTGGGGTGCAGCAGGGCAGGTGGGGAGGGGGACGGAGTGGTCCCAGTGGCCACCCACCAACATGCCAGCCCGCCGCACTCCCACCACCCGCACTGGCTCTGTGTCCAGTGGTTTTACAAGGCGGAGACCTTGACAACGTTGCTGGCTATGGCAGGAATGTTCGTGTTGGGGCCTGGGCTGCCAGGGGGTGGCCGGCTCTCCCCCTCGGGGGTTAGCGCGGGGGGAGTGGGGATGCTGATGATGGCTGTGGTGATCTGGGATGTTTTGCAGTTTGGTCTCAGTCCGTCGTCTGCTTTCAGATTAAGGCTGGAGCGACTGGGATAAAAGAAAGAGTGAGTTGAGGATGGGGCCTCTTGCAAGTGTCCCAAAGCTTCCTGATCCCCGACATTTCTAGCTCTGTCTCTGCTTTGGGTCATCAGCCCGAAATCATCCATTCTCACTGTTATTCCTAAACTACCAACAACTGCCAAGTCCTGGACATTGGGCTTTGGGACTCGGAAGATACGATTCTCCCTCCGGTGGGCGTTACGGCATCTGCCTGTGGCTTTCCCTGAGTTCCTGGCAGTTCACGGCAGGTGGTGGGGAGCAGTCTACACACGAGCAGAGAAAGGAGGGGACATCAGTCTGCGATTCACATTCAGCGGGGACAAGCCGTGTCTAACACAAGTGTGAGATTTAGTTCCTTGGTCCATTCTTTGCACTGGGATAGGTCGTTGGTGGATTTCTTCAGGGAGTTGTTTCTTCTGGTATCTAACCACACAATAGGCCTAAGCCTGCTCTAGTACCCCCCCCCCCCAACGTGTATGAAGGACCTTTGCGCTGACTTGTAAGGATAAGAAGAAAGGTCCTCGGGGGAGGAGAAGGGGGCCCACGCCTTAGGTTGGGGGATGGAGGGCTAGGGATCTCCTAAGGCTAAGGTGGTTTAGTTCTGTGGCTGGACGTACCGGCCTTTGGGAGTGGCGCTGTCGGAGGGCACCCACCTGGCGGTGAGGGAGGGCTGCTCGCTGCCCTGGATGTGGATCGTGCTGAGCTCTTGCATGCTGCGCAGGCGAGTGGCCGGCAGGTTGGAGTTGGGCAGGTGTGTGGTCTTCTTGCTGCGACGGGAGCAGCAGGTGGTCGTGAGGCCGGGGTGGCTGGACAGCGAGGGACTTCTCGTGGACGGGTAGTTCTGCATTGAGCTCTCCATGCAGTTCTGCTCAAACATCTGCTCGTCTATGAACTCGTGGTTCTGTGGGAAGCAGAAGGAGGAGACGTAGGGAAAGGAGGCAGGAAGGAGGGGAAGAGCCCCCAGACTCGGGATGGCTGCCTGTCTCTGTTCCGGGCCGGAGAGAGGACTCCCAGCTGCCTGGGGCACAGACAAGCATCCGATGAGGAGGGAGAGAGTTCTGTGGGCAGCCCTGGCCGTCGGGTTGAAAGGTGGGGGCTGTAGTCGTTAAGTCAGGATGTGGTGCGCACGCCATCTACAGCTTTGAGCTGAGGACCCAGAGGACACGGGTGGGGGCGTCAGTGGCATGGTCAGAGCTGGGAGCAAAGGGACCCCGTGGTGGCAGGGAAGGGGTCGCTGCTGTGGGTGGATTGCGAAGTGGTCTTCTGGACGGAACGGGGGAGATTCTCAGGAATTTGCGTAAGCATGAGACCAGCTCAGAAAGGCACCGGATTACTCAGAATTGGAAGAGCTTTGCTCTTGAAGGCCAATAAGATCAAGCTGTCAGGGTTATGGTTTCTTTTAGTTATTGTTGTTTTTTTCACCTGATTATGGGATGTGAATACCTGGGGGAATGGATACCTGGAGGCACAGGGTTCCCTAGGTCAAGGGTAAGCATGGGAAGGGAATGCTAACCGCCTCCGGACTGGAGGCCATCAGGGTGGGGTGGAGCAGAACCCAAGAGAAATAAAATGGCTGTTTGCCCAAGGTGACTAGAAATCTAAGGCACTAATGATCGAGCCAAGGCTGCAGGGAAAGTCAGAAGAGAGGTAGCATGAGAAGAGAGTTCAGAGACCAGCCCTGACGCCAATACCAGCAGTCCCCATGAGCTGGGGAGGTGGCCCAGATGTGGCCCACACGTGGCACTGGACGTGCCTAGGACACCACCATCGGTGCCGTGCTCCTCCACCCCCTCCGAGCCCTGGGAAGCTAAAGAGGTAATCAGAAGGGCAGCCAGGTACGGTCACAGAAACGGGAGGCCTGAGCTGGTGCTGGGAGTGGCGGCAGTGGGGGAGAAGCCCCAGAAGAATGGACAGCACGTGCAGAGACCAGACCAGGGGAGGAGGGGGTCCACAGACTCAGAAGAATCAGAAAGAAAAACATCGATTGAATTTTTAAAAAGTTATACCTTGATGGTGGACGTTCGTACAGACAACAGGGGATCATCCACAAGATAGGACAACCCCTACAGGACAACATGCCAACAGAAGATAAAACACCATTGATTGTGCGTTCCAGCATTCCCAAGCTCAGACTGACAGTCTCTCAATCCAGCATTCCACCCTGTCCCAGCATTCCACCCTTCTCCCAGCATTCCACCCTTCTCCCAGCATTCCACCCTTCTCCCAGAATTCCACCCTTCTCCCAGCATTCCACCCTTGTCCCAGCATTCCACCCTTGTCCCAGAATTCCACCCTTCTCCTAGCATTCCACCCTTTTCCTAGCATTCCACCCTTGTCCCAGAATTCCACCCTTCTCCCAGCATTCCACCCTTCTCCCAGCATGACCCTGCTCAAACCCCATGTTCATTCCTTCCAGCCCCACATTCTGCCTCTTCTGTCCCAACACATCTCCCCTAAAGTCCAGCATTCCACCTCTGATGGCAAAACCCCATCCCCACAATCCGACATTCTCTCCCTCAAACTCAGCATTCCACCTCTTTGAGGCCAGCATTCCATCCCTTGATCCCCAAATCACATTTCCTCAATGCCAACATTCCAGCCCTTCCAACCCAAATAATGTCACCCATTCCGCCCAGCACATGCAGCTTGGAAAGGGCAGTTGGGTCCGGGCCTATCCCTTTGGCGAGCTCTGAGTCTTTGAGAGAAATTCTAGATGTGTATATATAGTTGCTTTTGTTTTTGTTTTTTTTGGTACGTGCCCCTAGTGGGAACCAAACCCGGGACTCTCTGGTCCACAGGCCGACGCTCCAACCGCTGAGCCAAACCAGCCAGAGCTATATAGTTCCTGATACTAAGAAATATTTGGTGTGTCTGGAAATGGGTTTTCAGAGTGTCTCCCCATTTTGGAAGTCCTCATTGGGTTAACTGCCATCCACAGTGTCGGCATTTGGATTATAGCAAGAGTCATCTAACATCTATCCCCACAGTGGGGAGGCTGGGATACGGAGCATTTAGAACTGGCAAGTTCTTAGTGTGCTGAGCCCTGACTATAGGCTCTTTGGGGAGGGAGGTTCTAGGGAAGAACAGGAAAGGGATTCAGCTGGTTTCTGTGGTTGTCCACCCTGACTTCTCCTCCCTCCCTCCCGTTCCAAACACTTTCCGCCAAGGGTCCAGGGTTGGCCCACTGCCCTTCCTTCTAGTCTGCTGGGGAGGCACAGGCATCATTCCACGTTCCGACCATGCCGCCCTGAACCATCACTCCGTTTTAACAAGACGCCTTTCAGAACTGAACTCCCTGGGACGGCAGGTGACTAGGAGGAAGTGATCATAATAAAATCTCTGCTTAGGGAAATCATGTGCTGCCTCCTTTACTGCCTCCTGTTCTAAGAGTAATGTAGGGAGCAGAGGGACCCATACATTGCATCAACCTAGCCCCAGAGACAGGACAAGAGCTGACATGGTCTCGGCTGTCCTGCAGCAGCCTCGTGGATATTCAGCCCTAGTTTGGAAGAGTGGTGCCCACCAGAACTGGGAAACTGACAGGCAGAGCCGTTAGCCCCCAGCCCTCAGCAACCAAGAAACGGGCCATGGGACTGGGGTAGGGGTGTGGAGAGGCTGGGGTGATGGGCTCCTCAGGGCGCTGCAGGACAGAGCTGGCCCCGGCCTTGTGATTGCTCCACTCTTTGTCTGAGGGTTGAAGTCTTCACCACTATTTCTTGGGTCTGAAGGGGATAGGCTTTGACTCCTGGGCTCAGGATAAGAACGTGAGCCGAGTTCTCTCTGAGTGCGACCCTTGGACGAGGGCCAGGGTCAGGCAGAGGGAGGGGCAGTGGGCTGGACTCACAGTGGTTTTCTCCAGGCAGTGCAGCAGGTGGTGGTGCTGGCTCTCGATGAGCGAGGTGGTCTTGCCCACGCGCTCCTCCTCCGGGGAGCCCTAGGGAGACAGGAAGAGAGAGAGCTGGCGACCTTCTCCCCCGCCCTCACTTCCCCACAGAAGACAGGAGGGCACTGGAAAAATCTGGGTGAAGCAAATTTTAGGGTCACCATAGAACATGCCAGTCCTTGGGCTAGAGGGCCTTGGCTGGAAGCTGGTTTGGGTAGCAGTGACAAGCCCATGGGGGAGGTATGTGAAGGCTGCTGCCTGGGGAAGTTTGGAAATATGTCCTCGGGGTTGAAACTGCGGCTTTAGGGAGGGAGTACTGGTACCCCAGACGAGAAAACAAGCCCCTTATCCCCTCCCCCTCCCCTGCCCAGGCCCTCTGGGCACCTGCCATCAGCTCCCCTTCCCTGGCCCAGGCCCTCTGGGCACCTACCATCAGCTCCCGGCCCAGGCCCTCTGGGCACCTACCATCAGCTCCCCCTCCCCGGCCCAGGCCCCCTGGGCACCTACCATCAGCTCCCTCTCCCCGGCCCAGGCCCCCTGGGCACCTACCATCAGCTCCCCCTCCCCTGCCCAGGTCCCCTGGGCACCTACCATCAGCTCCCTCTCCCCGGCCCAGGTCCCCTGGGCACCTACCATCAGCTCCCTCTCCCCGGCCCAGGCCCCCTGGGCACCTACCTTCAGCTCCCCCTCCCCGGCCCAGGCCCTCTGGGTACCTACCATCAGCTCCCCCTCCCCGGCCCAGGCCCCCTGGGCACCTACCATCAGCTCCCCCTCCCCGGCCCAGGCCCCCTGGGCACCTACCTTCAGCTCCCCTCCCCGGCCCAGGCCCCCTGGGCACCTACCATCAGCTCCCTCTCCCCGGCCCAGGCCCCCTGGGCACCTACCTTCAGCTCCCCCTCCCCGGCCCAGGTCCCCTGGGCACCTTCCATCAGCTCCCTCTCCCCGGCCCAGGCCCCCTGGGCACCTACCTTCAGCTCCCCCTCCCCGGCCCAGGCCCTCTGGGTACCTACCATCAGCTCCCCCTCCCCGGCCCAGGCCCCCTGGGCACCTACCATCAGCTCCCCCTCCCCGGCCCAGGGCCCCTGGGCACCTACCATCAGCTCCCCCTCCCCTGCCCAGGTCCCCTGGGCACCTACCATCAGCTCCCTCTCCCCTGCCCAGGCCCTCTGGGCACCTACCATCAGCTCCCTCTCCCCGGCCCAGGCCCCCTGGGCACCTACCATCAGCTCCCTCTCCCCGGCCCAGGCCCCCTGGGCACCTACCATCAGCTCCCCCTCCCCGGCCCAGGTCCCCTGGGCACCTACCATCAGCTCCCCCTCCCCGGCCCAGGTCCCCTGGGCACCTACCATCAGCTCCCCCTCCCCGGCCCAGGTCCCCTGGGCACCTACCATCAGCTCCCCCTCCCCTGCCCAGGCCCTCTGGGTACCTACCATCAGCTCCCCCTCCCCTGCCCAGGTCCCCTGGGCACCTACCATCAGCTCCAGAGCCTCGTTGAGGAGCCCGTTGCGCTTGCTGTACAGGTAGGCATTGGAGCTGCCTGTTTTGGCCACACGGATCCTGGCAAGGCGGGCCTTCTGTGATTGGCAGAGAGAATCAAAGAGTGAAGTCTAACAGCTGTGGGCCTGGCAAAGACAGGGCCAGGAGGCTGTCCAGCGAGGCTGGGTCCCAGGTGATTTTGGATGCGGGCGAGGAGGCTGCTTCTCCCCAACCTCACGGATCTCGGTTCACAGACCCTGGGTTCTGGGCCTGAGACGCTGTGTCATGATCAGAGTTCCTGGAGGTTCCACTCACCTCTCCAGCCCAGGTGTTATCCTGGCAGGAGAAACACCTCTCATCAAAGTCCTCCCTCCTCCCAAAAGTTCCCTGACCTTTACTCAGTGTCCTGTCGGATATTTCTAATCTCTAATGGGTGGCGGGCTCTTTCATGGAGCATGTGTTCCCGCCCTCCTGTGACCCTCCCCACCTGCGACCCTCCCCTCCTGCGACCCTCCCCACCTGCGACCCTCCCCTCCTGCGACCCTCCCCTCCTGCGACCCTCCCCACCTGCGACCCTCCCCTCCTGCGACCCTCCCCTCCTGCGACCCTCCCCACCTGCGACCCTCCCCTCCTGCGACCCTCCCCTCCTGCGACCCTCCCCACCTGCGACCCTCCCCTCCTGCGACCCTCCCCACCTGCGACCCTCCCCTCCTGCGACCCTCCCCTCCTGCGACCCTCCCCACCTGCGACCCTCCCCTCCTGCGACCCTCCCCACCTGCGACCCTCCCCTCCTGCGACCCTCCCCACCTTCGACCCTCCCCACCTGCGACCCTCCCCTCCTGCGACCCTCCCCTCCTGCGACCCTCCCTTCCAAGGGTCCAGTGCACATCCCTGCATACAGCAGGTGCCCCAATATGGGTTAATTATGAGAAAAGCAAAAAGTGTGCATACGGGCCCTCAGCGCTTCGTCACTGCTCTGCTCTCTATTTTTCCCTTAGCACTTACTACGAAGGTGGCAAACGTTTTGTATACCTGTCTTGTTACTGTCTCTCCCCCGCCAGAATGTACACTCCCTGAGGGCAGGAGTTTTTGCTTTGTTCACGGGTGTATCCCCAGCCCTAGTAATTATTAAATAAATGAACACATTTACAGTTGCATGTCTGTCTTTGGGAGTGGATATATGTGTTAATATATGCTTTTTATTTTGTGCTCGTCCTTGGGGACAAGTGCGGGAGCATGTGTGTGTGGCAGAGTGGAGGACGGAACAACTTCCTAGAGCACTTGGCTTTAACTAGGACAAGTGAAATCCTCAGCTCCCGCCTGGCAGCCTCCCGCAGACCCCCGCAGAGGCACACACCACCCACGCTGGCTGCTCTCCTCCTTCCTAATGGTCATAATCAGTGTCATTGTGTCAGCAGCAGAACCACAGAGCAAGGGCAGAGGACAGAGCCTTCGGGAGAGGGAGCAGGTACCATACAGGGTTCCCGCTGGTTTGAAAAAGCAGCTGGTGGCCTGGGCTCTTGTTGACCAGCCCCAGGCCCTGGCCCCAGAAGCAGAGGAGCCCACAGGCACGCAGGCCCGTCCTGGGCTCAGGGGTCCCCCTTCTGCCTCTGCAACGTCCAGTGTAACTTTGGCGTGGCCTCTGAGCTTCCACGCCTATCACCCTCCCCCAGCACAGGCGAGTCCCCTCTGAGTGTGCAGCTGGGCTGGCCTGTCTGTGAAACAGAAGCCAGGGACTCAGTCAGGCTGTCAGCAGAAGCACAAAGGACAATTTCTACGGCTGGTTTCCTGGGAAGCTGCCCTGTGGCCACGTCCCTGCAGGGAGGGACACTTCAACTCCCTTCCCTGGCTTCTAAACAGGGAAGAGGCCAGGACTTGAATGGGAAGATCTGCCTGTAATTTCTGAGGAAGAACACTGCCCTACATGGAGAGAAAGAAGGGGAACCTGGGAGAGAGGGTGGCAAGGAAGCCCCATTACTCTCCTCTCTCCAGCAAAGAGCATGCATTCAAGGCCAGGCCGATTCCGGGCCTGGGGGCCCTGCCCCAGCCCCCCTCAGCCAGCTGTCCGCAGCAAGGAGGCTCCTTACCGTGGTGGATGCTCTCACTGCTCGGGGTGAGGACTGGGTGTGAGAGTGGCATATGGAAATCCAATTGTGTCAAGCTCATTATGGCCTCTGTAACTTGATCACACCACTTAGAGCCCGACCTTTCCCCGTGTCTGGGGTCTGTCTTCATTACTTTCCAGAGATGAAAGATTCTCCTGTTCTCCTCTGTGGCACTTCTTTTAATCTTATCTTACCCTGGGCGCCATTAAAGCAACCGATTGTCATATCAAATGTACTGCATCGTTTAATCACTTCCCAAGCTGGGTGAAGAGGGTTGCAATGTGTTTACAGAGCCAGACCCAGCACCTGAAACCTGGTGAGGCTCCCTGGCTTGGCTGGGCTCCTGAGGACAGTCTGGGGCTCGTGCATCTCCATCTTCGGTGAGTAGCACAGAGCTTCGCACAGAGCAGGTGCTCAAGCAGGCCCGTGAGGCCCAGGAAGAAGGAAGCCACACCTGGCCCAGAAATCCACACTGATGAAGCCACACAGTGGGCTCAATCGTTGCGTGGACCGGTCAGCTTCACTATCCTCCATGGCCATCAGGACATCGTGAGAGTTAAAAGGGAATTTGAGATCATCTAGGTTCTTTTATTTATTTTTTAATCCTCACCCCAGGATATTTTTCCATTTATCTTCAGATAAAGTGGGAGGAAGGGAGAGAGAGAGAACAACATCAATGTGAGAGAGACACATCGACTGGCTGCCTTCTGCACAACCCCGACCGGGGCTGGGGACCGAACTGCAACCAAGGTACATACCTTTGGCCGGAATTGAACCTGTGATTCTTGGGTCTGCAGGCCGATGCTCTAACGACTGAGCCAAACCGGCCAAGACCTTCTAGGCTCTTTTTAAAGACAAGATATGGCCCTGGCTGGGTGACTCTGTTGGTTGGAGCATGGTCCCGTACACCAAAGGTTGCAGGTTCAATTCCCGGTCAGGGCACATACCCAGGTTGCAAGTTTGATCCCCGGGTGGGGTGTGCAGGAGGCAACCAACTGATGTCTCTCTCCCACATAGATGTTTCTCTCTCTCCCCCTTCTCTCTCTCTAAAACTCAATGAAAACATATCCTCAGGTAATGATTAAAGGAAAAAAAATAGGACAAGGAATGGAGGAGGTGAGGGAAAGTGTCTGATCCAGGGCAAGGTGGTGAACGAGCAAGACCTCAGCTCAGGCCGGCCACTCCCAGGCCCAACGCTGCTTCTGTAACTTCCTCTCCTCCTTCCCCAGTTTCAGCTCCGCAGGCAGGTTTCTAACCCGACGCACGGAGCCCGGGAGGCTGAGCTTTCAGCAGGGGCGGAGGGCCAGGCTTGGGGGAGAGGTCTGGACGGAGGGGGCGGCCGCCCTGGGCACAGTCCCAGGGACGCTCTGCTCGAGTCTGTGGGCCCCGGAGCCCTTCCTGCTGTCCGGCTGCAGGCACCCTTTGGCCATGAGCACCGGCCCCTCCTGCCCGGGGAGCGGCGGAGGAGCCGAGAACGCGGACGGTCACCCTCTGAGGCGTTAACCCCGGCGGAGGACGCAGGTGCCCGTGGAGCCTGTGCGGCGCCCACAGCAGCGCGAGGCCCAGGTGGCGTCGCTGCACCTGCTCAACAGGCGAACGTTGAACTGTGGGACATCCTCCCCGGGGCGCTGCCTGTCGGCAAGGAAAGGACTGTGGGTGCCCACAGTGGACGAGCTCCAGGAGTTACACGGAGTGGAGAGGCGGGCTGACCTGTAGGGGTCCATCCATATGACGTTTTTGAAATTAAAACGGTTTGCAAATGGAGGTCACATACAGGATTGTCACAGGTCAGGGACGGGGCGGTGGTTCAGAGGCGATGACATTGTAGGAAGCACACTTACACACACACACACTCTACAGCTAAAACTGGGGAAATCAATAGGATTGGCTGATGGACTGCACACATCAGCTGGTTGTGCCCATGTCCATACCCTGGTGTGATAATCATACAAGTGCATGTGGATCTACAATGATCTCAATAAAAATTTCCATGAAGGTAAAAAGAAGATGGGCAGGACCAGAACTGGAGTTGGGGGCCAAACACCCCTCCCGGTTCTCCCATCTGTCCCTGCTCCTCCCCCTCTCCCGACCTCCGAGTCACTTGGCTCAGAGAACAGTCTCTGGAGCACGGTCATCGAGTGATCTGAGTAAGTATCCCAAGCACGCCAGCTGGGCAGAGGAAGGGTGAAGACTTTTTGAGCCTTTGTACCTGAGGCTTCAGCTTACCTTCATGGCTGTTCATCTGGGCTGAGAACCATCCTCAGCTCCCCTGGCCCCCTTCCTGCCCCGTCTCTCCTGTCCCAGCTCCCCAGGCCTCCTTCCTGTCCCTGTCTCTCCTGTCCCAGCTCCCCAGGCCTCCTTCCTGTCCCCTCTCTCCTGTCCCAGCTCCCCTGGCCTCCTTCCTGCCCCCTCTCTCCTGTCTCAGCTCCCCTGGCCTCCTTCCTGCCCCGTCTCTCCTGTCCCAGCTCCCCTGGCCTCCTTCCTGCCCCGTCTCTCCTGTCCCAGCTCCCCAGGCCTCCTTCCTGCCCCGTCTCTCCTGTCCCAGCTCCCCAGCCTCCTTCCTGCCCCGTCTCCCCTGTCCCAGCTCCCCTGGCCTCCTTCCTGCCCCCGTCTCTCCTGTCCCAGCTCCCCAGGCCTCCTTCCTGTCCCGTCTCTCCTGTCCCAGCTCCCCAGGCCTCCTTCCTGTCCCGTCTCTCCTGTCCCAGCTCCCCAGGCCTCCTTCCTGCCCCGTCTCTCCTGTCCCAGCTCCCCAGGCCTCCTTCCTGCCCCGTCTCTCCTGTCCCAGCTCCCCAGGCCTTCTTCCTGCCCCCGTCTCTCCTGCCCCAGCTCCCCAGGCCTCCTTCCTGCCCCGTCTCTCCTGTCCCAGCCCCCCAGGCCTCCTTCCTGCCCCGTCTCTCCTGTCCAGCTCCCAGGCCTCCTTCGTCCCCTCTCTCCTGTCCCAGCTCCCCAGGCCTCCTTCCTGTCCCGTCTCTCCTGTCCCAGCTCCCCAGGCCTCCTTCCTGTCCCGTCTCTCCTGTCCCAGCTCCCCTGGCCTCCTTCCTGTCCCCTCTCTCCTGTCTCAGCTCCCCTGGCCCCCTTCCTGCCCCGTCTCTCCTGTCCCAGCTCCCCTGGCCTCCTTCCTGCCCCGTCTCTCCTGTCCCAGCTCCCCTGGCCTCCTTCCTGCCCCGTCTCTCCTGTCCCAGCTCCCCTGGCCTCCTTCCTGCCCCGTCTCTCCTGTCCCAGCTCCCCAGGCCTCCTTCCTGCCCCGTCTCTCCTGTCCCAGCTCCCCTGGCCTCCTTCCTGCCCCGTCTCTCCTGTCCCAGCTCCCCTCCTGTCCCAGCTCCCCAGGCCTCCTTCCTGTCCCGTCTCTCCTGTCCCAGCTCCCCTGGCCTCCTTCCTGTCCCGTCTCTCCTGTCCCAGCTCCCCTGGCCTCCTTCCTGCCCCGTCTCTCCTGTCCCAGCTCCCCAGGCCTCCTTCCTGTCCCGTCTCTCCTGTCCCAGCTCCCCTGGCCTCCTTCCTGCCCCGTCTCTCCTGTCCCAGCTCCCCTGGCCTCCTTCCTGTCCCCTCTCTCCTGTCTCAGCTCCCCTGGCCCCCCTTCCTGCCCCGTCTCTCCTGTCCCAGCTCCCCAGGCCTCCTTCCTGCCCCGTCTCCCCTGTCCCAGCTCCCCTGGTCTCCTTCCTGCCCCGTCTCTCCTGTCCCAGCTCCCCAGGCCTCCTTCCTGTCCCGTCTCTCCTGTCCCAGCTCCCCTGGCCTCCTTCCTGTCCCGTCTCTCCTGTCCCAGCTCCCCAGGCCTCCTTCCTGCCCCGTCTCTCCTGTCCCAGCTCCCCAGGCCTCCTTCCTGTCCCGTCTCTCCTGTCCCAGCTCCCCAGGCCTCCTTCCTGCCCCGTCTCTCCTGTCCCAGCTCCCCAGGCCTCCTTCCTGCCCCGTCTCTCCTGTCCCAGCTCCCCAGGCCTCCTTCCTGTCCTGCCTCTCCTGTCCCAGCTCCCCAGGCCTCCTTCCTGTCCCCTCTCTCCTGTCCCAGCTCCCCGGGCCTCCTGTCCTGTCCCCGTCTCTCCTGTCCCAGCTCCCCTGGCCCTTCCTTCCTGCCCGTCTCTCCTGTCCAGCTCCCCTGGCCTCCTTCCTGCCCCGTCTCTCCTGTCCCAGCTCCCCAGGCCTCCTTCCTGCCCCGTCTCTCCTGTTCCCAGCTCCCCAGGACCTCCTTCCTGCCCCGTCTCTCCTGTCCCAGCTCCCCAAGGCCTCCTTCCTGTCCCCTCTCTCCTGTCCCAGCTCCCCAGGCCTCCTTCCTGTCCCGTCTCTCCTGCCCAGCTCCCCTGGCCCTCCTTCTCCTGTCCCGTCTCTCCTGTCCCAGCTCCCCTGCCTCCGTGCCTGCCCCGTCTCTCCTGTCCCAGCTCCCCAGGCCTCCTTCCTGTCCCGTCTCTCCTGTCCCAGCTCCCCAGGCCTCCTTCCTGCCCCGTCTCTCCTGTCCCAGCTCCCCAGGCCTCCTTCCTGCCCCGTCTCTCCTGTCCCAGCTCCCCAGGCCTCCTTCCTGTCCCCTCTCTCCTGTCCCAGCTCCCCAGGCCTCCTTCCTGTCCCCTCTCTCCTGTCCCAGCTCCCCAGGCCTCCTTCCTGCCCCGTCTCTCCTGTCCCAGCTCCCCTGGCCTCCTTCCTGCCCCGTCTCTCCTGTCCCACAAAGTGTCCGGCCTCCCCCGCCGTGCCTCATAGTGACAGATTCTAGAAGGCAGTGTTCTTGTATTCTTTCTTCCCCCCTCAGTGCTCTTGTATTTCTTCACCCCTCTCCCGGGAAGTCCAAAGTGAAAGAGCTGAGCAGCCCCGAGGGGAGCAGTGTCCAGGGAGTGAGAACACGAACTATTTACTCCGACTTCGCAGGGAGCCCAGCAGCGAGCAGGAGGGTGGACGTGGGGGCAGTGGGCAGCCGAGAGGACGTGCCAAAGCCGACTCCTTCTGGATTTTAACCACATAGGACGAGCTGTGCACGGTGCCACGGGGAACCGGCCACCGGTCCATTCTGTGCTGGCTGAGATGCTCTGGGAAGCAGGAGGGGTGTGGGGTGGGGGGAAGGGAGCCGCCGGAGCACAGCTTGGGGGGGCTGTCCTGGGCCCAGCCTAGGCTCCTGTGTGAGCTGAAGGTCCCTTTGAACCTCACCTGCTCGGCCAGACACCCGAGTCACCCTAGCCCTGCGGTGGGTGGGGGTGGGGGCTGGGGAGGCCCCCTGGCCCTTCGGGCCTCAGGCTCCTGAATTTGGAAAGGAGATTCACCTTGCTCAGGACAGCATAATGAATTCAGAGCTTGTTCACGCTGGCCGCTGGCGGGAACAGGGGAGAGATAAGACTTCTATTTCTGGGGTGGCCAGCAGGGGACGGGGGTGGAGGAGCCCTGACCTTGGGTGAGGAGGTAGGAAATGGGCGCTGGGAGATGGAGGGGGCACAGCAGCTCGGGCCTGGCCACCGGGCAGACCCCGGGCAGGATAGGCCAAGATATGTCTCAGCGCAGGCGGAGGGGGAGGCAGCAGGGCCAGGAGGGGTCACCACAGTCACACAGAAGGGGATGTGCTGGGATTCATGACAGAATTTAGTCATCTATCCTCTATTGTTAAGCACCATTACATGTAAATCAGGGTCCCCTCCGGAGCTGGCTCATGTGAACAGCTGGCTTTATTTCCGCCAGGACACAGACGGTGCTGCGGGTCTGCGTTCCTCCCAGCAGCCGGGGACCCCGCATGGGGTGCTGCCCGTGAGCAGAGACCAGCCGCGGGGACCACGTGGGAGGAAGCAGCCCAGCTGCTGGGCACAGGGCCTGGCACAGTGGGTGTTCGGTAAAGGTTTGTGGAGTGAAATGAAATAGGAATGAAGTCGGGACACAAATCTCAGGCCTCCATAAGTGACCCTTTCAACCAAGTCCCCGTGTCTGTTGTACCCAGAAGTGCCCCCTGGAGGTAAGAGGCTCTGAAGGGATGGAAACTCCCTCTCGGTCCTCCCTTCTCCTAGTGAAAGTCACGCCAGGCGCGCTGAGCGGCCGAGATGCTCTGGATGGAAGGGGGGGCTGGTGAGGACAGGCACCCTGCCTGCCTCTGCTCCCCACCCTGGGCACGAGGGCCTCGCCCTGTCCTGCCTTCATGGGTGGGCTGCCTGGGGACCACGCGCCTGCCCGGGACCACGGTTCTGCTCCTGCTCCCCAGTGCGGTTCTGCGCCTCGACCCTGACACAGCCGAGGTGACTCAGGCTGCTGTGCCGATTGTCCCTGAACTCAGTGGCCTCAGAATGTCCTCCTTTCAGAGGATTCATTTTTCTTTTCAGCAAATTTATTTTTGTCCCTGTGCTTTGTATAGGCTATTGTAGGACATTGGAAAGCAATGCTGTCCCCCAGGAAGCTCCGGGCAGGGGAGGGAGGCGTCCCAGCACCGCCGAGGGTGGCGGCTGAGGTCTAGGAAGGGAGCGGGAGCCCGAGGAAACTGCATAGAGTAACCAAGAGGGAGAGACTCAGCTTTGGGATGAGTGAGGGTTTGTTGTGTTTTGCAGCTGATGGGCTCGAAGGCACTGGTCCGGGGGGAAGGGACTCGCAGCTACTTCACCTTCCAAAGCCAGAGGGCGTCCGTGCCTGGTTCTCCGGGAAGCCCAGGCCTGGCAACCTGCCTGTGACAGGTGCCGAGGCAAAGGGCCAGGCCTGCTCTGGTCCCGTAGCTCCCCCACCCCAGGTCACAGGCTTACCTTCTGTGCCCTGCGTTTATCAGCTCTCTGGTTCTGGTGGTAAATCCGGCTGAAGTTGGAGACAATCACGGGGACCGGCAGGGCAATGACCAGGACACCGCTCAGGGAGCAGATGGACCCAAAGATCTTCCCGGCAATTGTCTTGGGTACCATGTCTCCATATCTGAGGGCAGGAGAGACAGGTGTGAGGAGGAGAGGCCATTTGGGAAACAAGTCAGACTTCCCTGCCATCCATTCATCCATCCATCCATCCACCATCCATCCATCCCTGCCATCCATCCCTGCCATCCATCCATCCATCCATCCATCCCTGCCATCCATCCATCCATCCATCCATCCATCCCTGCCATCCATCCATCCATCCATCCATCCATCCATCCATCCCTGCCATCCATCCATCCATCCCTGCCATCCATCCATCCATCCATCCATCCATCCATCCATCCATCCATCCCTGCCATCCAGCCATCCATCCATCCATCCATCCCTGCCATCCATCCATCCATGCCATCCATCCATCCATCCATCCCTGCCATCCATCCATCCCTCCATCCATCCATCCATCCATCCATCCATCCCTGCCATCCATCCATCCATCCATCCATCCCTGCCATCCATCCATCCATCCATCCATCCATCCCTGCCATCCATCCATCCATCCATCCCTGCCATCCCTGCCATCCATCCATCCATCCCTGCCATCCATCCATCCATCCATCCATCCATCCATCCATCCCTGCCATCCATCCATCCATCCATCCATCCATCCATCCATCCCTGCCATCCATCCATCCATCCATCCATCCATCCATCCATCCATCCCTGCCATCCATCCATCCATCCATCCATCCATCCATCCCTGCCATTCCTCCCTCCCTCCCTCCATTCATCTGTCTATCCCTCCATCCATCCATCAACTGTTTAGAGAGCCTAAAATGTGTCAGGTCCTGTGAGACCCTGATGTTCACGAAGCCAACATCCTACAAGGGGAAGACCATGAACAGGTAAGTGAATCCATGAAAATACCATGACCTGTGGTTGCTTCTGTGGAGGGAACACACACAGGGCCCGGGCCAGGGAGGGCACGTGGTCAGGAACGACCTCTCTGAGGAGAGGACATTTGAACTGAGAGCTGAAAGCAGAGGACCCAGCCAGGTAGCACCCTGGGAAGATGTGCCGGGCAGAGGGACAGACAGTATGCGTCCGGAGGTAGAAAGAGCAGCGGGGTGGAGGGAGGAGACGGCACACGAAGGGCCTGACTGTGCGTCCAGTGGCCGCAGTGAGGAGTGTGGGTTTCATCCCAAGTGCGACGACGAGCCACAGATGAGCTTTAACCAGAAAGGCAACATGTCCTCATTTATGACGAGAACATAACAAACCACCTTCTACCGACGCGGAGCTCTCTAACTTACAAAGCACTGTCACACCTGACCCCACAAAAGCTCCGTGAGCCCTGCAAACGTGGCTCCCCTGTCCCCATTGTACAGATGCAGCAACTGAGGCTCAGAGGCTCAGCGGACGGCCCTCGTTTGGGCCCAGCTGGGAAGAAACCCACTCCTCTTGCTTTCATCTCTTTCCTACAAACACGGCGAGGGGGGGAGGTCACGGGCTCCGAAACCCAGTCCCTTGAGCTGGAAGCCACTTTGGGAAAGTGCCAGGTCCTCTCAGAGCTCCGGAGACTCCCCAGTCCTTCACCGTGGGACCGGCTGGGACCAGCCTGCCTGAGTCCCCCTCAGCCCGGCCGGCCAGCCAGAGCCTCTCTCCTCCAGTCACGAGACCTCTCCACAGTGGCTGTGTGTGTAGCCTCTTCTTTATTGACGTAACTCAAAGGTTTATTAAGCAAAGAGCAGGTAATGACCCCTTTGGCCAAGGCCAGAAGCACCATCTCCTCGGCCCCTGTGCCCTTCGAGCAGAAACAGCTTCAGGGTGACCAGGAATTGTTGCTGCTGAAATAGTGAGGCTCCAGGTTGCTCGTCCTGAGGGGATCCCGGTGTCCTGGGCTCCAGCCCGTTGAGAACAATGAAGTCCTCACCTCCTGACACCTGAGGGCTTTGGGAGGCCCTGCCGGTGGTTGGCGTGTGTTCGGCGAGGGAGCGAAGCCCCTCACACCTGCGAAGTAGGCTCCTGTCTTGAGAACTGTCTTCCTCCTCCTTCAGTGTCCAAGCCCTTTGTCCGTGCAGCTGCCTCAGTCATGCCACCGACACGGAGGCCTGTGACCGCCCCTCCGGGGACGTGGGCGCTGGCTCTGCCTTTTCTGCCACCGTGCTTAGGAGTGGCCGCCAGTGGAGTAGCTGGGACTTGGCATCTGGAGTTAGATGACCTGGGTTCAAGGCTCACTCAGCCCCGCCATAAAGTAACTGCATGACTTTGGGGGAATGTTACTTTAGACCTCAGTTTCCTTGTCTATAAAATGAAGACAGTAAGAGTGACCGAGGTCATAGTCCCAGGCGCTGTGACTTGCACCTACGCATTCTGGTAACCATGGTCTCTGTTGCTCGGAAAACACAACTGATTGTCCCAAGTTCAAATACTCCCAGCAGCGGAGAAGAGGGGCTGTCCCACAGGGGGCAGCCACGTCAGCTGGGGTTTCAGATGCTACAGCTGAAAGGTGGACATCAGGCCCAAGACCGTGGATGAAAACAAAGCCTGGTGGGATCTGTACGGAAGCGTCAGGAAGCCAGCGTCTCGGCCACCAAGGCTGGTGAAGAATGCCCAGGACAACAGAAAGGTCGCTCTGCCCACTGGCAGACAGGACAAGGAGGGAAGCTACGCCTACTGCTGGGCAGATGGTCTGCTGGCAGCAGACAGAAAGACACAGAACAGCTCAACTCCTGGGCACACTCTGCTTCTCTGCCGAGAACAGGCTTTGTCTCGGAGAGGCCGGGAAAAACGTGGTGAAAAGGATCTGGAGCTTGAGCGAGGGGACGGGAGCGCAGGCCAGTGCCCAGTGGTCCTCAGTGCATTCCGATCACAGGCCCACCCGATCCCAGCAGACAGGAGGAGGGAGCAGAGGGAGTCAGGGAACCACTGCCGGACTCACTGAGAAGTCACGGTGCAGCAGAGGAATACCCAGACACCGGAGAGGGAACACTGTTGTGCTGATCTTTGTAAAGAAGGGGCGAGGCGGTCTAAGAAACCACAGACCAGGGGAGGGGCAGCCTGTGAAACCACAGAGCAGGGGAGAGGCGGCCTGTGAAACCACAGACCAGGCTTGGTGTCCATCAATCCTGCCATCCAATTGCCGCCAGAATCTGAGAGCAGATTCAGTGGACAGCTGGTGAACACTTGGAAAATAAGCTGTATTAGTGCACTAGGCAGGCACACATCCCGCCGAATTAACTCCATTTCTGGTTTTGAGAGGGTTAACTGGCTGGCGGATCGGGTGACTGCTACAGTCCTACTGCATCGTGATTTGTGCAAGATGTGTTCTTGGCCCGTCCTTTCTGCCCTTGGCGAGCTGAAGGAAGGTGGTGGGGCGCACAGCAGTGCGGCCAGTAGGGGCTGGACAACCATCTCCAGTCTTCTGGCCCTTCTTAAAGGCCAGAACTGTGGGGTCCTCTGCTGGCAAAGAAGTTCATGGTTTTCATGTTAGAAGGGTCTCCTTTAGTGAAAGAATAAGGAAGTGAAAAAATGGACCCAAAGCTAGGTCTCCAGGGCGTGTTCCAGAATTGTCAACAGCTTATATAGAGCCAGAGGAAGGAGCATGGCCTAATGACAGAGAAGAGACTGGTGTCAGATCTGGGGTTGAGCCCAGCCCCAATCACTTAGGAAATAGTTGAGTGACTTCGGCAAAGTTATTTAACGTGAGCCTCTACCAATATAAGGTAGATCTTATATACCTAACTCAGAGGGTTGTGGTAAGTGTGAGATAATTCAGAAGAAGCACTTGATGGGAAAATGTAAATTCTCTGCAAGCAGCCAGTGGGGTGGGCACCTACCCCATCTCGACGGTGCCCTTTCCTCCATTATGATGTCACTCTGTCCAGAGGAGCTGGTTCTCAGAGGATCCGCCACCTTCTTACAAAACTTCCCATGTCCTGGCCAGTTTGGCTCAGCAGTTGGAGCGTTGGCCAAAGGACTGAAGGGTTTTGAGTTCGATTCCTGGTCAAAGGCACATACCTGGGTTGCAGGTTTGATCCCTGGCCCCGGTCGGGGTCATGTGGGAGGCAGCCAATCAATGTGTCTCTCTCACATCAATGTTCTCTCTCTCCCTCTCTCTCTCTCTCTCTCTCCATCCCTCCCTTCCTTCCACTCTATCTGAAAAATAAAAATCAATGGAAAAATATCCTTGGGTAAGGGTCAAAAAACAAAAAGCAAAACAAAACAAAAAGCGTCCCCTCTGCCGCTGCCCTCCCTGGTCACAGTAAGTTCAGAATAGGGCACCTGACTCAAGCTGGGTCCGTAAGTTCCTTTCTGGGATTCATTGTTTTTTTAAAAAATTCTTGATTGATTTGACAGAGAGAGAGAGAGAGAGAGAGAGAGAGAGAGAGAGAGAAACATTGATTTGTTGTTTCACTTATTTATGCATTCACTGGTTGCTTCTTGTGTGTGTGTGCCTTGACCAGGGACTGAACCCACAACCTTAGCATATAGAGACAACACTCTAACCAACTAAACTACCTGGCCAGGGCCTCCTGGATTCATTTTTAACAGCTTTATTGAGACACAATTCATATCCCATAACATCCATCCATTTAAACTGTACAATTCAGTGGTTTGTGTGTTTACATGCTGTGCTACCATCACCACAGTCTAATTTTGGAACATGTTCATCACCCTAGAAAGAAACCTCACACCCGTTAGCAGTGACCTTTCCACACCCCACCCTCGGCCCTAGGCAACCACTAATCTACTTTGTCTCGATGGATTTCACTGTCCCAGATATTTCTACAAATGGAATAGCAGAGAGTGTGACCTTTCGTGTCTGACTTCGTTCACCGAGCGTGATGTGCTCAGGCTTCAAGTCCATCCATGTGGTAGCACGTCAGACTTCGTTCCTTTCTGTGGATGAATAACATCCCATTGCATGGACAGACCACATTTTGTTTGTTCATTCATCAGATGGTGGACGTTTGACTTGTTTCCACTTTGACTATTATAAATAAATTCTGCTATAAAAATGTGTGTGCAAGTTTTTGTGTGCACATACGTTTTCGTTTCTCT